GCAAGGGCCGTTGCAGACGCTTCCACGGAGCTCATGTTTCGAACGTCTTGCACGTTCGGCCCTACGCTATGCCACCGGTTGGAAACTCGTTGTGATTATTCATTTTATACGAGACAAACGTAGTGCATATAGCAATTTCCGGCCGAGCTGCACTCCGGAGTGCATATAGCATTACTAAATGCAAAGACCGCCAGTGAGACGACACCGACTGCAAAGGACGCGACTGACGCACTGGACGCCGTAGATGAAACAGCAATGGACTTCGTGGCTGAGGCGGTCTAGCGGCTGCTCAGCGACCCGGAGGAGGGAACCGACCAGTCACTCCAGCAGACTGAGAGTCCCTGCTTGGTAGTGAGGAGCGAGAGGGGACGACGCGCTGGCCGGAGCCGTTCTTCTTCTCTTCCCAGGTAGAGCGAGAAAACACTTCCGGTTAAAACCTGGTTGGACGAAAACTGCATATTTGTTCCCTGGACTGTGAACTGTATCTTGCGCAAAAGCAGGTATGCTGATGTAGATGCTTGACCTATGTGTCACTATTTTACTCGGCATTATTCAGACTAGAGAAGTGTATAAGGTTTTGGGAGATGGGCCTGATTGGTTGCCAATCCTATAACGGACTGGTCACATTAAGTCCATGTTAATCAGTCTGCGTCAATCGTAATTCAGCTTGCCCTCTTTCTATAAGTGTTTCTGAAAGTGTATTTTTTGTGAATAAATAATGCCTGGCAATAAAAAAAAAAAAAGCGCAGTCATGGCCTAAAGGTTATCGAGCTTGCTTCCCACGCGAAGAGCCAAGGTTCAATTCCTGGGAGTGACGCGTCTTTTATTTATTCTTGCAATTTAGTGTTCTGCTAAATTCGAGAACTCGGTTGCTTGTTCGAGGTACGAATGTTCTAGACGCTGAACCTTCTAGGTGATTGTTCCAAAACCCAGCGCGTGTACATAAGGAGCTCTGCGTGGCAATCCGCAGGCAGTTTCGCCTCAGCGTTCGATCCTACTGCCTCGCCGACTTCGACGCCTGCGACGCTCTGTTGTTATCTTCTTCATTTTTGTTTTGGGCACAAGTTTGCCCCATTAAACGTTTAGTTTCCCCAGTTATTCTTTATTTTACTAACTCTTCATTCGTGACAATATTGGAAACTCTTATTCACCAACGTCTCAACCGAGGCTTGACCTGTTCAGAAGCAAAGAAAGAAGAATATCAATCGAAACCTTATTTATTATTTAATTATCACCTTACTGTTACAAACTCTACTAAAACTCTCCAATATCAAGAAACGGCTGCAACGATGAAGCTTTGCTCTATCTTCGAGCTTATGGCGCACCGTGCATTCACGAGGGCGCCCATCAAACCACTCTGCCATCTTGGCCGCGAGGCAGCTATGCAGTTGCCTCGCCTCAGACATGATCACATGGGCGTGTCACCGCGGGGTCGATCGGGATCTCGAATTCGGCTACCGATGTGCCACTTTCTCTCCTAGCCACTGGATGGCGCTGCAGGCGCCCCATGGCGGGCGAGGAGAAACCTCCTCGCCCATCGATCGAGATATACTCGGTAGGGAGGGGGTGAAGAGTCTCTTAGAACTTCGGACGCTACTCAGCCCAGGCAAGTGTGGGGCGACGAGGGCCTCCAGGCCTCGTGTCCCGTGATTACCCTAGATCCGGTCGCCCCAGACTTGCCTGAACTCAGTAGCGTCCGAAGTTCTAAGAGACTCTTTGCCGCCTCTCTACCGAGTATATCTCGATCGATGGGCGAGGAGTTTTCTCCTCGCCCGCCATGGGGCGCCTGCAGCGCCATCCAGTGGTAGAAGAGAAAGTGGCACGCTGGGAGCTGAATTCGAGGTCCCGATCGACCCCGTGGCGATAAGACCATGTGATCGTGTCTGAGGCGAGGCAACTGCATTGCCCCCTCGCGGCAACTATGCCAGAGTGGTTTGATGGGTGCCCTCGTGAATCCACGGTGCGCCATAAGCTAAATAGTACTTCCATTGCTTCGCTGAGAAAGCTCAATACAGAGCGTTAAATATTCGTGAGGCACAATATGGCACTCCCATCCAGTGCCACAGTTCGAAGGGTGTTCAGCGCAGCAGTCGACATCATCTGTAAGAAATGACGCAAAATGTTTGACTAGATTTTCGAGAGCCAGCTGTTGCTCAAAATACTCAAGTTCAGTAAATGGAACAGGTGGAAACAATAAGAACTTGAATAACCTTCTTCCCTTTGTTTTTTAATAGAGGTAAATATTGTTCAAAATAACGCCACGGAAGTAACGGATTACTTTTGGGGGTAACGGTTACTTACTTTTATGAGAGGGTAATTTCAATTGTAAAAAATTGCAATTTAGCCTTGTGTAAATGTAATTCCTTACTATTTTTCAGTAACGTGTACAAGTCTGCCTACGACACTCTATGCTCCTCTCTCCCTCCCCGTTTTTTCGGGAAGGGAGAGATGTTTTTTCGGGAAGGGAGAGAGAAAACATTCCTGGCTACGCCAGGAATGGGAGGGGGGGGGGGGGGAGGGAAAGCTGAGGTGGTTGGGATGTTCATTACTTGGGGTACGGAGAGGGGGAGGGGGTGCCAAAATGCATCTGTATATTATAGGGTTTGCTAGATTTCCTCCCCCTGGCAACGCCCCTGACCCCAGCGCATATTTTTTCAGCAGTTTAATTATTTAGTTTGATTGCAACTGCTTGATACACAAATTCTGAATAATCTAAAACTATCGCATGACCAGTTTCTACGAGGAACAATACATATCTACAAACCCCTATTTACGAAAAAAAAAAAGAGCGAGAGCTCTAGCGCGCTTTGTACTACTTACCTTATTAATGTGTGAATACTTAAACACAGTTGAAATGCTGGTGTACTCTAAAATGTCTTGGATGAAAATACTTTTATTGGCATCTTAAGATCAAAAGGTGTAATACAAAATAAAAGTAAACATTTTTACAGTCCTTCGCATCGAGTCTAAACAGCAAAGATAAACGACAAAACAAGCACTAAATACCAGATCCAGGCTACTGGTTTTCCAAAATCTACTCAAATCTTTCATGAGGGGAGATTATGTCCGTTTAGGAGCTGCAGCGTCTCATTCGGCGGCTGCAGTCTTTTTCTTTCTCTCTGTTTCTCTGCCGGGGGTTAGTGTCGATCCCAGTTATGTCCGCGTTCCCAAATTAAATCCTTTAGCATCCGTGAAGCGGTCATGGTCACATATGGATACTTTGTTCTCATGGCGGTGAATTCTTGCTCAAAAGTAAAAAAAAAAGTTGCTTTAAATTAACGGGGTAGCCATCTGAAAGTTACGAAAACATAAAACAAAAAGCGCCTCCGTACAAAAGAAACCGTTGCTACTAAACCGACACTGACGCTGCTAATGAGGCGCAGCAGTTAGTCTTAAATGCTGCGCTCATTTTTTGGTCTATACATGTTCAAAGGAGCAGTATCACATCAGCGAAATTTCGGCGCTCATTTTTTGGTCTATGTGTGTTCAAAGGAGCAGTATCACATCGAACATACCAATAGTATCTTGTTAAAAAAAGTCTCGAAAAGGAATTTTAAAACGAATTAAAACGATTAGCAAACAGCACCTGGTGGATGTCGCTAACGCCTCGTTTGTGGTGCCCGTCTAGGAACCTTGATAGCTAGTGACGGTGAGTGTATCGCCTCCGGCCACGACGAGAGAAGAGGGGAAGGAGGAACTCCCCTCTTCCCGAGAATTCCATTTGTATGTCGCAGAAGTCGCTATTGTCCCCCTACAAGATTATAGAAGATTAACTCGTCACTCAAAATTTGTACAAAAGCAGCCGCTTTGGTGGCTGGAACAACTAGGCCATCTTCTCGACGTCAGCCTCGCCGTAGTTTTGCTCGTCCTGAGACGACCTACGTCACGATTGCGTTGGATGTCACGTGGTCTCCGCCGGGCCTTCTCCGAGCGCTTGCCAGAAAGGGCCGTTTATAACGAAAAATACAGCCACCAGGCTAAAAATACAAATGTGCGATTGTCATTCACGGATATTGTGGATCATATTCAACCTATTTTTGAACACGACGTGAAGATTTCAAATTTCGTTGAGGTATCCCTTTATAATGCTGGAATCTTGAAATTTAAGGATTTACTGGTAGTATATGTGTATTTTTTCTTTGCAATGTAGAGTATTACCTTCAGCACGTTAGTCTGCTCCTCATAATTTGGCACCAAAACAAAGAAATATAAGGTCTATTGGAAAAAAGTAATTTTCTAAAAATACAAACGTTTTCTGGTCGACAAAAGATTCACCACTGGGGGCTTTGGTCCCCAACATAACAATGAAAGGCAGCGAAACCAATGGCAATTACACTCCTCAGCAAGAACAGTGAATCAGCTGGACATATATTTCGACGTTACAGATGTAACCAAATTCGAAGGGGCATAAAATTGGTTATTGACATTGTCTTCTTGTGGCGCAAACAATCTAAGCGCCCTGACCATCTGAGCAAACTAAAAATTACCCTTGCGGGTTGCCTTTTTTCCTATTAAAAATGTGAAGAGACATCGAGACAGGCCCCTTTTTCTTAGATTTGCACCTTAGTAAAAGGGCATGTCGCGATCTTTGGCCACGTTTTCGATCGGAAAGGAAATCCACGCCGGATCCTAATATTCGGTTACCTAGGACGCAGGGAACATAAATTGAGTTACCGTCACAAAATATTTATAAATCCACTTTAAGTACTGTTCACACACGCACACCAGAGCACTAACAAATCTCTATAGCCACTGAGCTGACTTGGCAGTGTAGCAGGATGTATGAGCGCTCCGTTGGACGTGACCCCGCCTTATCCAGCGCGCACACGGAATGCAGCACTGAGCCGGTGCTGAGTTAATGCTCACAGCATCGCTAATGGAGCGTATGACTCTTTTATCTCCGCGCTGCGCTGCGTGTGTGAACCGGCCTTTAGTGCCCCTTGTGCCCGACGAGCACTGCAGAAACGCTCCAAGAGTGCAAGTTCACAGCGTGGCTCGCTGTTCGTTCTTGGTATCGCGTCGTTGAGGCGGCAGCTTGCCGAAGTCCCACGTGAGCCGGTGACACTGCTTTCCCTGATCACGACAGCGACTGCCGAAGCAGCATGGCGACCTGTACTAGAGCGGGCAACAGCAGGGCCGTCAAGGCGGTCGGCGCTGGGCGTCCCGCGTGGTTAGGCTTGGTCGCCGCACCGGGCGCGGACGCGAAGGAGATCCTCCCGTCAAGGCCAGTGGTCACGGGGGAGATGGCCTTCAGGTAGCTGACAAAAACCTCCACGTCCTCGTAGCCTGCGAACCGAGAGAGAGACAGAGAGAGATCAACATTTATTTGTACGACCCCTGTCCGGGTCTGCATTCTTGGGGAGGAACACGAGTGTTCTCCTCTCGGATGGTGAGCGGGTGGTGAAGGAGGGTGGTCCATGGGGAGGGTAGGAGACGCGTGAAATCTACTTTCGTCAAAGGTGCTCCCCAAAGGCGTTCTAAATGCGTAGAATTTAGTAGGCAGGCCACGGACGGCACGTCTTGGTATCTGGCCATGGTGCCACCTGACGTCACGCTATCAGGTTGCGTGGTTTCACGTGGCATGATGACGTTGCACTGTCAAGTGACGTCGTGGTGTCACATATACGATCAAAATGTCAAAAAAAACAAAAACGGAACACCCTCAGATAACGAGAGGAATACGAAAACGAGAACCACTTAAATATCTATCAAGAGCTATAACAAAAAAAACAAAAAAAAACAAAAAAAAACACGACGACTATATCGGAAAAGTATTGCACCAAATCAAAAGAATAAGGCTGAAAGAATGCTCTAAACTGTAGTCAAAATTCCTAAGGAAGCGAGGCCAGATAGGCCAACTAGGGAGGGACAAAGAAACCGAGCTTTGCCCAGCAGCTCCTGTTTCTCCTCAACGAGTTACAAGGTGTGAGAAACTGCTCGCTGCAGGCGCCGGCAGCCATGTTCGCAATTGTTTCAAATTGAAGCGGAAAGGACGCTCTCGTGATAATTTTGTGAAAAAATAATGACTTAACCTTTATAGTTTGTTTGTCAAACATAAAAACATGGAGGACGCGCTTTTAATGTGGAACGCGATAGCGAAACATATAAATATATAAGCTCCCGCTCGTTCCCAGATACGCTACCAACTAGGCCTTGCATGACCATGGCGGTAGAGTGTGAAAAAATAAAAAGTAAAGGAGTAAAAAAAAAAAGAAAAACGCTTGTCGGTAGCGTGTTTCGCTCGGTACTGTAAAGTCGAGAGTTCAAATCTCCCCTAAAATTCTTCAAAAAAAGGTTTAATGCAAATTAATTGCTTTATAAAGTTAAATCATTTGAGACATACGACGACCTTTAATTCGCATTATGTCGTGCTTTTAATCACTTTTATTTCACGCGTGACGTCACGTGAGCGTTGTGGGTTGTTTGAAATTCCCGCGCGAGGTCACGTGGCTGTGACGTCATTACCCTATCGACCAATCCTGTATTTTAGCGCACACCACCGATGGCGGCTTTTTTGCGACACGAGCCCCATAACGCTCTCGCGTTAAAATATGCCGACGAAAAGACTAGCGCGGCACGAAGAAATAATTTCACAACGAACGTTTCACCTGTGCATTATCTCTCCAAGCAATGAGAGCCGAGAAAAGGAGCGTAGCTAGCTGCGGTCCTTTTGTTATGGGCGGGGCCTGGAGCACGGCTACCTGTACCTAAATTTCATCCGGCAAAGTAAATATTGCGCAAAATTGTTTTTGTTTTCTGAAAACGTTTTTCATCTAGTTTTTTTTTTTTTTTTTTTCAGTGTCTCTAAGCGAGCAAATCGTAGTAAATCGGGTATAGCGGATCAATATTTGCAACGCGGTCACCCTAATTATATTTCGGACTGTTACGAGTTTTAGGGCGAGCAAAAGACGGCACAGAAACCAGAGGGTTTTAAACCATCTCCGCACCCAACAACTTTAGCTTGCACTTTGTCTGATGGCTTCAGAAGTAAAGGCAGTGCACCTACCAGTGTCAAGGCGGTCTTGCGGCTTCACGAAAGAGAAGTCGAAGTGGTCTCCTCCCTTCACGATGTATCTGACTGCAGCGATGCGGTACCACTTTTCTGGGTCCACGTCCTCAAAGACGGGCACCCGGCAGGCTGTGCACAGGATCCGCAAGCTCACCACTCGGTCCCAAGGCTCACGACTGATGTCGTATACCACGCGCATGCCTGCGGAAACAGCCGCAGGAAAACGTGCTCAGTATTCGCGCATAAGCGAAAACTTTGTAACCACGGTGCAGAAAGTCAGAGGTCGGAAAACGGCCCTCAATGGAGTCGGAATTCCGTTCGGATTTCGCGCGTCTTTTGGGACGGGCACTTTCGGGCTGGGGCTCCGCGGAGCCTTGAAAAGGTGTGCGAGAATGAAAACGGTTTCTCCAGACTCTGTCATGATGCGCCATCACACGGCGTTTGCCAGAAAGGGGAGCGAAGCTTTGACTTCTTTTGTTTGTCGCGAGGCGCCGCCGTTCAGACACCTCTCCCCTCTTTCACCGTGCTCGTAATTAAACATTTGTGTGTTCACGTTTCGTATATTAGGGTGCATTATGTCATACTGCGAAGCCTAGAAGGTGGCTCTTCGAGTATGTCTTCTGGCTTCGGCGGGAGTGGGCGCTTTAAAGGGACGCTTTCCTAACGGCTTATTTTCGGTTCCTGCGGTTCGAGGAAGGGGCACTGCTGCGGCAGGCGGTAACGATGCCTGTCTCAATTCGCCGTCATTAACTACCGACGGAAAAGCGCTAGAGCACTTCGTGCTTCCGCACGTCGCCATCACAAAGAAATTGATGATAGTTCGGTTGTGGGATGTTTCGATGTACAGATTTTGGTGCACACACAATTTGGTGCACGAACTTTTCGGGTCATGGACCTCTTGGCACGTAGGTAATTTGGTGCCTGGACGGTTAGCACATGGTCATTTGGGTTTCCAGATACTTCGACACGCCGAGTTTTTGGCACAGAGTAGACGAAATTTAGTGTATGGTTATTTCAACTATTTTGATGAAAGGACTTGAGCGCGTCGGTATGAGTGTCATTCGGAAACACGATAGCTCTAAGGTTCACTCAGTTCTCTGCTACTTCGCAGCCTGTTATTCAGAAGGCGCTTTCGAATCAGTGGCGCTATTTTAATTGAACGATCGTTTAAGCGCGACACTCAGGATCTGTACAGAACGAACACAAACATAGCTTGCACATGTAAAAGATGTTAACAAACAGAACGTAAGGGCGCCAGTGAGCTGGTCTATATTGAAATTTTCGAAGCAACCCGAGGCTGAGGAATACGAAAGTTGACACCAAGAAAAGAGGAGGAGAACGCTCTCCTTCTCTTGTGTTAACTTTCGTATTCCTCACCCTCTGGTTGTCTCAAAATACTATGCGAAAATTAATCGTATTTTCTTTATTATCATTTGACACTAAACGCTTAGCATGGACCCGTATCCGTTGAATTGTTATGAAATTATCAATGTGTTTTTCACCATATTGCGTTTTTATAGAAGTTAAAAAAATTGCTGAGGAACTTACGAATAAAAAAAAATCTACATCGTGCCCTAGGTTTTGTTGAACTTTCTTGACCCCTAGGTAAACCCCACATTCGATATTTCAGACGAAAAATTCTACTGCTCTGAAATCAACGTACTGTGCACATACAATCAGATTTTGCAAAAAGAAACAACAAAAAAACTGATTAATACACGAGAGAAAAAAATGGGGCTGTACGTTCCTGCGGAATTTCGCTGCAGAATACGTCAAAAACAGTTTTTTTTTTTTTTTTAATTTCTGTGATGGACGTGCTCCGCAGAATAAAATGAGACGAACCTCGTTCCCTCACTCGATCCTCGCTCGTGAGCAGAACCAGAACGAGGCCGCCTTGTTTTTCTGCCCCCAGCCAAACGCCATTCTCTTTCTTTTTTTCTTTTTTTTCGGCGTGTCCTTGGCACGGTCAACATGCTGAGCCTCACTGCATCGCCGCTTTTGTTTAACGATATCCTTTTCTGTAGTCCATTGTTTTTCGAGGCATTGTGAAGACGTCTGGAACCGTTTTATCAAGTCACTGTCTTCCATCATAAAGAGAAGCCGGGACACGCGCGTACATCGAAAGACACAACTGCGTAATACGCCAACCCTAATACGATGACGCACACGCGGAGCGGTTAACGACCCGCAGGAGCCCGCGACAGGGACAGGACAGGACAGATCGCTTCGTGTCACAGATGAGAAGTTTCCGGGGGGAAAAGAAGAGACGCTGCCGAAAGGAATGCTGTCCCATGGAAGATCCAACCGAATGGTCGACGGGTTTGCCTGAACGTTCGTGCACCAAAATATGTTTACACCAAGACATTCTCGGGTCGAAAAGTCCTTACGGGAGCGACCTCAACAAAACGTCCTGCAATAAAAAGTCCTAGCCCTTATCAGGGGCAAACCAAAGCGGCTCATTGGATTGCCCGATGGCCTAAAATGTTTGAGACAGGCCCTGAAAAAATTATCTCGGACTAAATAGCCCTGGTAAAAGTTCCCAGTCAAAAGGTCCTAGCAAATTCATAAATAAAATGGTCTCAATTGAAGTTTGCGGCGTTTGTTTGTTTGTACCCGGTTCTGACCTTTGGCTTCTTTTTGATGCTCATTCAGCTTACAAAATAAAAGATGTGCGAAATATTTATTATACGAGATAATAGACATTTTATTAATTTGTTTAACACATTTCTGTTTTAGATATCTACTTTTTGTCTGTATATTATTTATGTTTCAGAACATTTCCCAAGTCTTCTGATTTAACGCATTGTATGCACAAATCCATTCTGTCCGCTTGGAAAGTTCTTCGTATCAGTGGTAATTAAGGCAATTTCATAAATATTCCACCTTATGCTATTGCAAGTTTAATGCCTTTCATCACAGACGTTTTATTGCGACTCTATAAGATTACTCGGAACTTCAAAAGAATAAAAACATGACGTTCGCACGATGTGCTTATTTTAATCACATAAAACCTGTATCGCTAGATATCGGCCGCCTTAAGCCATGGAGCTGCCTGTGAACAATAGAACAGAATTAACGGACAGCAGATGGACTCTGCAATAGAAGAGCCTCATACAAGGGCAGTGCCGTTCTCTACAATATGACAGATTTAAACTTCAATGTACGCCAGCGCGTTGAGACGCACTTGAGATGATGCTTGAACAAACCACGTCTAGGGCTCGAATATTTCGGAGACTATGAACGTGACTGGCGACTGCCCAAGCCATTACGTTCAGGAGCAAGCGCGCAACCTGCCTGGTCGTGCCAGCAGAACGCCAACTGACAAGGAAAGCTGCCAATGGATTAGGATGCAGTGGTCAAAGGCTGCCACGACAACCAGAGCCTGATGAGAACCTCATTAGACAAGTCTGAGGTGAGCCCTGCCAGAGCGAATACTAGCGTTAGCTAGGCGCTGTTCCCTTTTCCAGAGAGTTTTCACTTGAGGCCCAGCAACCCTCCTCGTCCATTGTATTGAGCAGCTTAATGCAATCGCTCTCTCGTGAGCATTGCTCCCCGCTTACCGGCCATCTGGAGGAATTCTCCCTTCGCGATGAGGCCCGTGATGTCGTGCAGAGCCACACCGTGTTCGACGACCCGCTTCAGCTGGGCCCCGGTCACATTAAGAAGCACCAGGGTGTTGCCAAAAGGCATCACATTCACCACGTCCTCGAAGGTGATCGCTCCACCGGGGCTCTGCGTCGAAGGAATTTCGATTTTATACTTTCACAGGAAAACGATTGCAAAAAAATTAAAGACGTTTACAACTCCCTGTAATGCCGAATTGGAGCGTAGCTCTTGAGGTGGAGGAGGTGAGGGTACGGAGGAGATGGTATGCCCTTCCTCCTCATCCGTACCCTTTCTTCCTCCCTCGTCATCTAATCCTCCCGTGCTCCTCGCCTCCTCCCCCTATTCTCCTCCTCCTCCCTCCACCCCCTCCCCCTCCTTCTCACCTCCTCCCTCCTCTTCCCGCGCGGTGCATTATAGAAAACGTCCCATAATGCAACGCGCGCGTCACCGCGGTGCATTATGGGACGTTTCCCGTAATGCACCGGGCGGTTACGCCGACGCGTCACGTCCACGCGTCACGCCGACGCGTTACGCCGACGTCGACGGCGACGCGTGACTCCGACGCGTTACTGTTACGCCGACGGCGACGACAACGCCGCTCAAGCCGGCAACGGGCACCTACGAGCTCCGTCTAAAATACTAAGGACAAACGAATTTCGACGGTGATACACTGGTAAGGACCTTAATAGTCAAAATCAAAAGCACCTTACAAAAAAAAAAAAAAAAAAAAAGAAGAAACATTTATTTTAAATTAGGCTGAATGGGGAAAAAAATGAGAAGGAGTTGAACACGATAGCTAAACATAAACCCTCGCTCGTTCCCAGGCCGTGCATGCGTGTCTGGCTCGCAACGGATGGTTTCGTGGGTTCGATCACGCTCGACCTGAAATTCGATTTTTTTCTTCATGGCAAATGAATTATTTATCGACCAATCAGTATTTTCCGGTCCCACTGACACCGACGCCGGCTTTCCTGTGACACGGGCTCTTTAAAAGGCAATTCCATTTCAATTTTGATATTGAGAAAACTATGCAGCGTTCTTCAGTATTTTCTAGGAAGACCAGATGTCAATATTACAACACTAATTTCGTATTGACTGCGCCATCATCAGCGCAGTCAATACCACGATGTTAGAGCAGCCAACATTGAGCAACTACGTCAGAGGCATGTCTACGTCATTCTCACGTTTTGTTTGATTTAGAGCGCAGCTCTTAGGCGCCCGTTTCCGGCTTGAGCGGCGTCGGCGACGTAACCGTAACGCGTCGGCGTAACGTATTGGCGTGACGCGTTGGCGTCGCCGTAACCATAACGCGTCGGCTTAACGCATCGGCGTGACGCGTCGGCGTCGCTGTAACCTTAACGCGTCGGCGTCTCCGTAACCGTAACGCGTCGGGGTAACCGCGTGGTGCATTATGAGAAACGTCCCATAATGCACCGCGCGGGACGGAGGAGGAGGGACGGGAGAGGAGAAGAGGGGAGGAGGCGAGGAGCACGAGAGGAGTAGATGAGGAGGGAGGAGGAGAGGGTACGGATGAGGAGAAGGGGCATACCGTCCCCATCCCTCCTCCTCCTCAAGAGCTGCACTCTAATTCGGCTTTACAGGGAGTTGTGAACGGCTTTTTTTTTATGCTTCTCAGAGCGAAATTGAACAATGACATCATGAGTTTCTCCTCCCGGTGTTGGCTCAACGGTGTCCACGTGAACGCCGTAACCAGGATGCCCCAGAAACCTTACATAGGCCAAACCTCTGCTCAGCAGAGCGCCTGTGCGAAGTCCCATTCAAAACGGTCATAGCACGAGATTCCAGCCTTAATAGCGGCCATACAAACAATATATTAGAATTTCTGTTGCTAGTTCCTGATAGATTACTATATTACCTATCTATGAATAAAAATAAAAGAAATAAAAAGTGTTTTTGTTTAGAAAATCGACTACAAACTTGCTAGTTTTTCGAAATATCCGTTTTTCAGGCACATGTAGCGCGTTATACATTTATTGCACAATATTGATATTATACTAAAAAAGAGCTTAATTGGAGCTTTACGGTGATTTAAAAATCATAAAAATATGTTGATTAGGTCAGACAGCACAGCTTTCTGAACTTCGTCAAATATCGTCGCAGAGAGGAAGTTTGACAAATAAAAAAATACATTAAGAATGTTTTGACCTAGACGCTTAATTAGCATAAAAAAGCATATGCCGAGAGCGTTCCGAGAAAGTAATATTGATGTAGCGTAAAAAGTAAGGAAAAGGGATGCGAGTGAAATATGGCACCCCAATAAGCTGGACAAACGACACTTTCCACCTTGGCCGCTTCAACCGTCAAAAACTTGAGAAAAAAAATTCGACGAACTTGCCGTTTGCGTCTTCTTTATTATAGGAATTGCCAGATAACATGTATGTTTTTTTTCAAGAAAATTAAAAATTCGACCCAAACTTTGTGCCTGAGTTGGGAAGAAATCACCCATGTGCATTTGTTTTGTATTTAAATCAAATTCATCCAGCAAAAATAAATTATATCAGGCTAAACACGATCATAAAGTAGTTATACATAATGATTGAAACCTGAGACCGTGGTTTGAAAAACCACAGTCACAGAAAAAAGGGACAGACGTTGTCTGTCCCTTTTTCTTTCTTTTTCACGAGTTTTTATTTTTCAAACCACAGTCGACGGTTTGAATCACCATGTATAACTTACACGAGCTCGCCTGCTCTTTAACCGTTTTTTTTATAAAGCAGTGCTGTTGTGAGCAAATCGGAGCGTTCACATTTCCTTCCACCTTCGTAAGTTATGCAACGTCCTTTTGCAAGCAAATCAAAACGCAAAATACAAAAAAAGCTTAAAAACTAGCTACAAAGATCAAGCACTTGTTGTTTCAGCAAAGCTGGGTTTAAATTAATAAGCGTTGCTAAATAAACTATATTTTTATGTTACAGTAACTCATTCTTCCGCAATGTTTCCAATGACCGGACGGACTGATCAATCAATCTTCCATTTTTATAAATACATATAGTAATAAAAAATCACTGTTTCTTAGCTACAGCTACATAAATATAATTAACCTGATTAAAAAAGTTAATATAATTTATTTTATTTGAAAAAAATCCATTTGATTTTTTTAACCCCGATTGGACATGGCTCCGTCTCTGTCAAGCGCAGGCCTAATCGATTAAGAAAAGGAACGTCAAATCCTCTCTAGTTAAAATTAATGCCACGTTGCAAAGAGAAATTTCGAAGTCACGAGTAATTGGTAATTTACCCAGCTACTGTTATGAATATGGGATTTCTGTTGTGGCTTAAGTGCTTTGAACAACTATACTTGGTTACTTGAAGGCGTACTTATCTCCCCAAAAACATTTCCAAGTGCCCAGATGAAACATGTACGTAAAAACAATTGGCTGCATGTTTGGTCATTCTGTCCAACGCGTTTAAATGAGGTTGTTTTATGGGGTTGGTGGTGCTGTTCGTTGGAAGAGTGCCTAGCGCAGGGTTTTGTGTGGGAACAGATTGCGTAACACCATTGTCTTTTTTCTGACGCTGCATGCGCTTCCTTTCGGCACCACCCGGATTCAGAGCCTCTATTTGCGCTGAGTTCTCTGGGCCACAAAGAGAGGGGAAGCGATCCTTTGCCCATTCCTCGTTCTGCTCGTTTTTTTTTTCTTCATACCATCTGTTTCTGCTCCTGTCTTTCTTGCCTTATCCACCCCTTTCCGCTCCGCGCTTTTTCTCATACCACCTGCTTCTGCGCCTCCCATTCCTGCATGCCGCGTCTGCTGCTCAGTCAGCAGCGCACTCTGCTTCCGCGCCGGTCACCGGGGTTGGATCTCTTGCACCGGATGCCGTTGTTTAAATCGATAACTGTTATGAACTTTCTCACCTCTGGAAATCACGTACGTTGTCGTTTTCGTTGTTGATGTTGTAGTTGGTGTAATAGAGCGTAGGGTGTTCAGCGCGATATCGCCAATTGCTCGTAAAGAGATCGAAGCTACGCCACCACATCCTCGCCAATCCTCTTTGCCGACTGTATTTGTGGAAAACAATGCCGTGTGAGTCTTGCGTGGTGCCCGCTAGACGGCCACAGTTACTGTGACATCGCGATAAAGACAATTCGTCATTCTTCATAAATTCGAAATATCATCGAAGTTAATTGCTAAAATCACAAGCTTCGGCTAGGTGGCGTAAGCCAGCGCCCGATTAAAAGGGTGCATCCTTGTCCATTCATGCAAGAGCACCTATGAGACAGGCCTGCGCATTACGCCATCGTTAGTGGATCTCTGAGCCTCCCCAAGGGGCCAACGTGCTGAAGCTTGACGAGAGTACGGCGCAAGGCGAGAGACGCGGATGTCTTGGTGTCTCCACTTGCTACCGCCGCGCTTGTTGGAAGAGCTGGCTGCGACGCTGACACCTCTCGCCTTTCATCGTAGGGAGAACTGGGAGGTGCATGCTCTCGAGAACGAAGCCACTTGAGAATTCGCCGTCAAGACGCCGCGGTGCGTGAACGCGACACCGATGGCCACCCTATTGAATATCGCTCTGAGGGGACTTCAGGAATTTTTTAAAGGGTGTGAAGGGGACTTCAGGTATTTTGTGATGTTTGAAGGGGGCACCGATATATCCTGGTGGGTTCGTTGGCCCCGTCAGAAGCTCTCCTGAAATGTCTGAAGTGCCCTTTACAATGCCTTGAAATGTCTGAAAGCCTGTCAAGAACTTTTCTAATGGGGCCGGGAAAACCTTCAGGCTTCTTGAGATGTCTGTGGGGCCACGGCATAGGTGGAGAAAACACGCAAAAGGAAAAAAATTAATATTTGTAGAATGTCGATCGTATGTGTATACGGTCAGGTTTTTTTATTACTGCTCTTCTATCAACCATCACTTTGCCCCTTGACCCGTTTGTCACTGGCCGGGTGTTCGGTCGCCAAGGGGGTTATGTGTTCAATCGCCCCATGTGGAGAGTTGACGAGGCGCGGGGGCCGGGTGTTGTTGGCCGAGTAATGTTTTGAGGCAAACAAGCTTTACTTGTTGCACTAATAATAATAAAAAAGGGCAAGCCGAGAGCAGCGCGTCGTTCAAAAACAGAAGCGCGGAGGAAATTGAGAGAGCGAAGCGGCAGCGACTTGTCCCGGGAGTTCCTCCGCGGAGGACGGTCCCCAAAAAGGAGCAAAAAAATAAACAGAACCATTTTGCTTTTTACCAGAGTCGGAAGTCCTCTCTTTTTCGTCGTCGTCAAGAACACCAGCAGGAAACTCAAATCCCCCTCCCCTTTTTTTGCAACGCCTACACACACACACACAAATTTGCATTTAATTGCATTATAATTACACACACACACACTGCAATTCTCTCTGCCCGGCAATAGGGAGAGGGTGCAGAACCGCCAGGGCCGGACAGCACGCTTCTCCAATAGTCGGTGGGAGAGAGTGGTGTGAGGAAGCCAAGGAAGTCAGGAGGCCGCTATAGGCATTTTCTTTCCACTCGTGGGCGGTTTGCTTCTCACCGCAATGGAGATCTGGAACGGTCCGGTTTCCTCCATCCAGAAAGGTAAGCACTGCTTTGAGGGCTCGCCCCTTGGTCTGTTTTAATCCGTGCCGTTTCTTCCTTGGTTCCGCAGGTGAACCCCGGTTCGGCGTTGGCCGTCTTCAGCACCGCTCAAGCGCCATCGTGTTCAGCGCATTCAAGGAGATGGTGGCCGGTGTCGGCCCACTCGCAGCAAGCCTGGCAGTCGGGATCAGCGTCCCACCACATGTAGTGCCTGCGCACCGGGATCATGGCACTGTGGGTCCTGAAACGGCGGATGACGGTCGCTGTTCCGCCTTGTTCCTTGCGGCTCTTCGTCCGACCGGCTTCAGAAACATCCAGCGAGCGAAAAATACGCCGAAGACGCCGCCCCGACGACATCATGGACGAAACCGTGACTGTGCTCGGAATTTTTCAACGGTGGCGGGATCTGCTTGCGAGTTCGTCGTTTTCTCTAAACGTGCTTACTGAGACTGTGTATGTGTACGTGAGGTGCACCTGCTGGGTTTTATTCGCTGAACTACCGTACATCAGGAATTTACCCAACGGCATTGTGAGTACTTTGAAACTTATTTTTCGTTGTGATAAAGAAGTCAGTTGTTTCTATTTAATATGATCTCTTTCGTCGACAGATGCTTGCGCCCGGGTTTGAAAAAGCATTGGTTTTTATCGTCATTTTGAGTTTTAATACACATGTAAAACTCAATCTCCGTGATAAATTTTCAATAACGTTTTGAACTGAATTTTTTCTATGGCTCACAGTCATTTGGGCGTCTTAAGGGGTATCCACACGAAGGAGAACTCCGCGGACGGATGTCGTGACGTCAACAACCCGGGAAACTCCGTCCCCGGCTCCGCCGCGTGCACCGGCGGGGCTTTCGTGTTGACAGCACGAAGCCTCCGCGCCTCCGCCACGGAGGAGAACGGCGGCGCGAGGCCAGGGAGGCGTCAAAAAGGGATGACGTATGTCTCACGTGATGCGCGCTCCGCGGAGGAAAGGAGCGGATTTCTCCTTTGTGTGGATACTCCTTAAAGGGTTGATGGGCTAAGGGGTTTGGGTTGAGGGTCTGTGGGGCTAGAGGTTTTTTTTTCTGAGGGGTATACCTGAAGGGTATTTTCGAAGGGTTTTGAAGGCCTGTGAGGTCCCATAATCCTTCAAGACTGATGGGCCCTTTACAATTATTTTCAATAGGGCAACGACTTCGCCATGACGTGCCGCAGTTATCGCTGTGACCGTCGTGTGTATTAACGCATGATGCTCATCTTTTTTTAAAATATCGTTCAGCGGTTACGAACTGACCCACCTACACATTCCGTGCTTACACGTCTCCTGTGGTTGGTTGGCCCTGCAAAGGTACCGCTTTAATACCGCTTTAAAGAATAGTTTCACCGTACGCACAATTTTTAGAGGATTATTTACGTCCCCAGACACATTATGATTATGGTGATCTGAACGCGAAACTGGGCACGATACAGAAACATGAAAGTGGTGTACAGAAACAAAGATAGGGACGGAAAGCACGCGCTGTCTCATTTTAGAGCGCAGCTCTTAGGCGCCCGTTTCCGGCTTGAGCGGCGTCGCCGTCGGCGTCGGCGTAACCGCGCGGTGCATTATGAGACGCGTGACGTCACTGGTGACGTCATCGGCATCGTCACGTGACCACTGTGAGGCCACGTGGAGAAAGGGTATACCCTCCCCTCAGTACCCTTCCCTCCTCCTCCTCCTCAAAAGCAGCGCTCTAATTCGGCGTTACAGGGAGTTGTAAACGGCTTTAATTTTTTCTAATATTTTTATAATGTTCTGTTTTTCTTTAGCCTGGGGTTAATAAAGAGTTTTAGTAGATCGTTCCGATACCTCCGACACCCCCGATAACGATACGACGCATGCTCAAAGGCGGCGGTGGAATATCGAAGTCATCGAAACGATCTAATAAATTTCTTTATTACTATCGTGGCAAAAGTCCACCAGCTCGCCTCCCCCGACTTATAAGTAAAGTTTGAAAAATATCCCTCGAAATAGAAGTTTGGGATAGCAGCTAGCTCGAAATCTGCATCAAGGCGTTATACACACTAGTTTGTTTTAGGTGAAAATAAATTTGGGTATATACGTTTTCTATTTGCGCACCTAAATTAAGTTTGTTGTGAGTTCAATGTACTATCTCGGACAATATGGAATGAAAGAGTCCTTCACGTTTCGGCCTACCTGCCAGTTTTCGGAAGAGCTGTGGTTCGATCTAGGAATCGAAAATGAAGTCCCCTACTTCGGTTTTTTTTTTCTTTCGGAAACTGGAGAGATGATAGATCTTGTGAGGACCGCCAACGCAGAAAAAGGCCTTATTGGGCCTTTTAGCTCATATAGTCAGCAGGGATACCAGCAACTAGGCTTTGGGGGTAGTTGGCAAGCGTCCGCCCGCACCTCGTCGCTGATGGGCGCCCTGAAGCCTCCGCCGTTTGCGATGGCTGCGGCCACCGAACTCCACGAGCCGTTCGCCCTAGGTGTCATTTGGGCCAGGAACTTGAGGAAGGCCTCGGTGACCGCGTTGCCCAGGTTTGATTCCCCGAAGTGCGTCACCGGCCTGTCTCCCTGCAACAGCACCTGCGTGCTGGCCACGGTTTCGCTGCGCTTGGACTCCAAGAGAGGCCGGTAGTGGTCCAGAAGCGCGAGTCCGTCGGGGTCTGCATGAAGAAACCGCCAAGAGGCCTTGCACAAAAAATCATAAAGGCCTTGCGTGTATCGCGCTAACAACCACGGGAATGCCCTGTATCCTGACTCCTACTAACACGTGGCATTTCGGAGAGCGAGAAAAAGCAAGAGGGTAGCACAGTTGCTCGCCATGCTTGCCCTGTCTGCCGTCGTCTCCGAGGTCGCCTTCGCCATCCGCTACAGCCGGTTCTCTACAGGATATTGTCACGAATTGCAGACGAGGCAGGAGGAAATGGAATGAACTAAAGGTTTAAGGCCACGGTCCCACTGAATGTGGCAGTTTAGGTACTTTTTGGCAGGCCATTACTCATCTCCTTTTAAATACTGTTTTGTGGGATTTATGTCATTCAAAAGGCAATGCAATCCTCTTTCATTTGATATTATGTATGTGTTGGTTTTTACTGTTCATGCGCATTTGTAGCGTTGCGAATATGATGGCGCGGACCCTCACTTGCTCCGCTAGTTCATGTTTTATGAACGATCCATTAAAGATAGCACGATTCCAATATAGCAGTTTTGTTAAGATGATGTCGGAGCAGAATCTGACGGTCCACTTTTTTGATATTTGCACTACTTTGTTTTTTTCATCCCTCCAAATATTGCCCTAAAATTGACATTCTTCAGCACAAATATGTTTTTAATGACAAGCGCTAGGGCAATGAAATTAGCTACAGATGTAGTGCTTATGATTGGTAATATGCAGACAAAAATTTAATGTTGTGTAAAATTTTTTTGTTTAGATATTTTATATCAAACGTAGCACTTTTTTGTGCTTCGAGTCATGGTAGTTCAAATGCCACTGAAGAAATAATTAAACTATGATAAAATCTTTTATAACATTTAGAGCTACAATGGTTGCCCAAGAGGTGGACGATGGCTTTTTTTCATTTTCAAAGTCATAACGCTCCAGGAGCCCCTCAAACTTACCTGTTTTTGACGCATATCTGTTTTGGACATCAGACAGATTTATTGGCATTTAATAACATTTATTGTTTGGAATAGATATACATTGCGATGTATTAAATTTTCACAATGATCTTGCTTTGGTTTCTTAATAGGTCCAGAGCTTAGCTAATTTTAAAAACAATTAAAAACGGTTTGGGTGTTTTGTTGCGCTACCTGGCGGATGGCAGACAAACTGCTGATTTCTAGTGTTCAAAAAATATCCGAGGGCGGCGTTGGCATCTGTATCATCATCAATCTCCGCGTCTTTTTACCTTCACATTTAAAAAATATATTGGAAGATTTACTATCGATAAATGAATGGTTTAAGTATTGGGTCAGGCTAATAAATCTAAGACAAATAATTACACAAGCGTAGCGTGATTGTTGTTCATTATTCGATATGATTGAAATCAATAAACAATAAAGACGAAGAGGAAAATAATACACCCGAGTTCACTTTATGCCTAGAGTCACTACATGAGCTTTAAAGTATCGGCACTCAGTTCCCCAAAATGGGTTTGGGCGCCGCCATTTTGGGTCTTGCTCAAAAGCAAACGCAACTGCCGATCATCATGATCCAAAAGTACGACTTCCTCAGCATTAGATGCGGTGCTAGGAAGCTGATGCAATATGGAAATGCTCTGTCGCGAGTTGTTTAAACATTTGTGAGGGACGGAAAAGCGTTTTCTGTGATTTTAGATAAAGCTCCATATAACTGGCAACCATGATTTTAAGCCACAATTTTAAGCCAAGTGTCGTTACTCGGAACAGCAAGCTAATTTACTGGCACAAGCGGGAACAATGAAGAAGAGGCAGGTGTCAAAAGGTAGTGGCTCGTGGAATCCACGGGGCTTACGTCATGGCCCCTCCAGGTATTACAAGCCTCTTGAACAAGAGCGTGAATAGTGTCATTAAATAAGCTACGCTTCAGAGTAGCGACACTTGGTCATATTGTGGCTTAAAATCATGGTTGCCAGTTATTTGAAGCTTTATCTGAAGTCACAAGAAACGCTTTTCCGTCCTCCACTTTAAACAGTTTTCGACAAAGCAAAGCAACATTACATGAGCTTCCTAACACCGAATCTAATGCTGAGGACGTCGCACTTTTGAATCATGACGATCGGCAGTTGCGCCTGCTCTGCACAAGCAACAAAATGGCGGCGTTCACAACACTGTCGGGGAAGAGAGTGGTGATACTCTAAGTGCAGCTCATTTATTGGCTCTAGTTCCCGCGAAACTCCTTTTCCCTGACTGAAAGTGAAAGTAAATATGAATAATACACCATCATTATAGCTTATTTAGTTAAAACAAAATACACATAATGAGAGGAGGAAGCGGGCGGGTAGGAGAAACGCGGGTTTTATGTGCGACCGTTCTAACCGTCTCAAAAGAAAGAACGCACGAGCTTGCACTGGTAAAAAAAAAAAAAAAAAAAAAAGCACCAAAAGAAAAGATGCGGCACGCTGTGTTCTTTGTTATTATGCGTCTAATTGCAAATTGTTGTGTGTATGTTTATACAGCCGGGAGTTAATCTGCCTTAGTGGGCGTCTGGTGTCTCAGCTGTAGATGAACAATTTAGCCAATGCGGTACAGCCGCAAACCTGGGGTTTTTAATGTGCACCACGCAGTAGTGATACACGACCGCACGCCGGTACGATGCTCTTCCAGATTGAAACGGGCAGGGGCGGGGTGGGTTCTGCAGCGCGAGCTTTCGCTCCAAGTGCTCCGAGCTGTCTATCTATGCTGGAACGCAAACTACATGATGTAGAAAACTGCATTGGGCACTGATTGGCTATTCTCTCACGTCACGTGACATGACGTTGAAATGTAGTTTTTCCCTATGCAGTTAGAGCTATGCTCGTAAAATGATGCAGTTGGCGGTGACGTCAAAATGTCGTCACGATGCACTCTGACGATGCAGTTAACTGAGTGGTCGAGACGAAGCCAGAGATCAATCTGAATCGTAAAAGATGGCGACCCTAACATATGCATCTCTACTGTTGGGTTCGCCAGCAGATCGAGTTTTTAGAGATCACCGGGATGCTTTCGAGACGAGCGATGCGTGGTTTGTGGGCGAATACCGGCTGACCAAAGGGGTGACTCGCTGGCTGTGCAACCAGCTTCGCGGAAAGCTCCAGCGTTGTCGTGAAGGGCCCCGTCTGCTGACGGTCGAACAACAAGACCTCGCAGCTCTACGCTTTTACGCCGCAGGCGACTTGCAGGGACCCGCCGGGAGCAACGAAAACATTGGTGTTCACCAGTGCTCTGTGAGTCCCGTACTTGGTGATGGCACCAACGGTATCATCGATTGCCTCGGATCGAAGTGGCTGTGTTTCCAACAAACTCAAGCAGAGAAGGCGCTCAGAAAAAGGAAGTTCTTTGAGCGATGCAAGTTCAGCGGCGTGATCGATAAATATTCTAAATACTCTTACACGATTCAACACGATTGTGTTTTCATTTGACTTCACCCCTTATAAGCGATTTGGCTGAGCGAAAAGCCAAGAAAGCAATGGTAACAGGCTTAAGTTGGGCTAGTTTGTTCATACTTCAGGTAGAGAGAGAAAGAGAGATATACTTTATTTTAAAGCAGCTACTTTAGGTAAGGCCAGCTGAACTATAATAAACATACACATAAAGAAAAGACCATACACACCGTGGGACTAACAACTGATTTTCTTTTTCGTCCTCTTCTGCTACAAACCCAACTTGAGGGAAATATTCTCTTTTCTTCTTTTTTGCTTCTTACTTCACCGAAAATTTAACCCCAGAAGGAATATTTTTTTCTTTCTCGTGCAGCACGAGAGAAGTTGCACTAACGCAGTCAAATATGGCCAAAAAGTAAAATTGGTCGTTAGTTGTATAAAAGCAGGAGGTTAGTCTGCCTGAACATGGCGACATTGTTACCCACTGTAGATAAGCAATTTAGCCAGTGCAGTACGGCTGCTAGCCCGGGGTCTTTAACGTGCATCACGCAGTAGTGATACACGACCGCACGCCGGTACGATGCTCATCCAGATCGAAACGGGCAAGGGCGGGGATTGAACCCAGGATCCCTGGGTTCTGCAGCGCGAGCTTTCGCTCCACGTGCTCCGAGCTGGTGTGCGCTAGAGCCACTCTATATGGCAGCGTAGCTGCCAGAGTAGCGACACGACGCAAAATTATCTAGATACACGACGTCAGATGCGCTGATAGTGTTCTCCATTTTGGGCCTGGGAGGTTGCCATGGTAACCGTGCTTCTAGCGACGCCGGGCGGCAACCTTTGTAGTCCAGTTGATATCTCCATTCGTTCATTGAAAAGTGGACGCTTGGCATCGCGGTATGGCAAGAACCTCTCGAGGAACGGTGCCTGTGTTTTCTGAAAAGTGAGACGATTTGGAGCCCGGGGACATTCGGGCGACGAGAGCTGCTATGGTATCGTACGTGCACGGACAAGGCGAGTGGTTTTCGGCGCCGCCGGTATGGCGGCCGCTTCGTGGGACGAAAGTACCATCCTAGTACTTTCGAACTTTGCACCGATGGAACAAACATGACTACTGCTCGGCTGCCCCATAGTGAGCGAGTATATGTTTAGCATCATATTTCTTCAAGACCCGATCATCCCTTCAAGATGAGATTTTCTCACCGACTGGTGAAGAGCGACGTCGACGGGGTTCACCCAGAATTGTTGACGCCATCAAAAGAGACGGACGCCAGATATGAGGTGTTCTTGCCGGCAGGCCAAATAGTCGTTCGGAAGTTTACCGGCATTCAAAAAGTCAATCTGGTGTAGCACGTATATCCGTGTTAAAGGGGCCACGAAATTATTTTCAAACTTCTTCTTTCTTAACTGTAATCCTCAACTCAGAAGAGAACTGTGAAATCACGCAGTCGTGATATGCTAGGGCACTGGTGCGATGACCCCAAGCTTTCAGCGTGCTTTTTAAGCACACCGTAGAACTTGGCATTCGCAAGTGCATGATGATAAGTTTTGTCAGGACATTTATTGGCCAGGAACTCGAATTCAAATATCCATGGACGAATTGATTG